GCTAGATTCCCTATAAGATGGTGAGTTTTCATTTTTTCTCGCTTTTTTCTCCACAATATTCTATCACGTGGATGTATTATACGGCGCATTGCAGTCAAGGCTAATGGATGGAGCGTCTGTGCAGTCGTGTATTTCAGACTTCTGCGATGCTGTATCTCGTATCCGGGAAACAATAAAATACGACGACACATGGAGTGCTTCTTTACGCCGCGGGCAAACAACGCAGAGTTTGATTTTGTCTGCAAAGGAATGCTGTGACATTCTGGTGAATCAAATAGGCGATCGTCTGCGCACTGAACACCTTGCCGCGTTCTCTTTGATAAACCCAAAAAATTTTAAAAAATTTGCACATCAATTTCCCATCCATTTGTTGGCTACTGTCTCCAAATTTTACCCCATGATAAAGGTGGGTAAATTGGAAAATGAATTGCGATGTATATACACCAATCAAACTTTTTTGAACATCACATCAACTTGCGCGCTCTATGGGTTCCTCATAGATAACACTCTAGTAACTACCTTTGCGGCGTCTGCAAAATTTCTGGACATCATTTTGACGACGCCTATTTCTTCCGCCGACGCAGAGCGAACATTCAGCACGCTGAAGCCTATTAAAACGTATCTCAGAAACACAATGAAGCAATATAGATTAAATTCCTCGGCTGTTTTATCCATTCACAGAGACGTTACTTCTGGGATGCATGACTTTAATCAGCGCGTTATTGAGCATTTTGCTTCCAAGAAACCGCGGCCTGTTGCATATATGTTCAAGCAGTAGAAGTCTAGCAGCATACATATCTATGAGTGAGCGACGCATGTCCTTATCTTTGCATTACCTTTCCTTTCTTCATAATAACATTTTAAACCTTATTTTAAGATTTGTCTGCTTTCCCGAAGTTTCTGTTAATATGTCATTGTATTTATCTGGATAAATATTGCCTTTCCTTTTGAAAAAGGTTTCAAAATAAACTATGTCTATATTTATTAATCCCTTGACTTGGACCGGTTTAAAGACACTTTCTTATCGTTAAAAATTGTCGCTTTTGCCGATTGGTTGTTACCGATGGAATGGTTTTTATACTCATAAAATGATGGCAATTATCGTCGCCATTGTGGAACAATACATGTATATGCCGTAGACAATTTATGATTTAGGTAGAATAAACACCGGCGTAAAGATGTTTAAAAACATGCAATGCTGACGAAAACTATCGGTGATTGTAACAAAATGCAATCGCGCACGTTATTAGCGGCCTTTTAAGTCTTCCGGAAATGTCAAAAGGGAAAAGATTCGACCCCTAGTTTATTATTTATTAATATGTTTGTCAAGTGTCAAATTTACAGCTTTAGTAAGAGTATATATAACTTATCTTTGAAATTTTGATTTATTTATGACTTGCATTAACCCCATTAAAAAAAGGTTTAGCCTTTAAGTTAAGTACTTTTACCTTACTCAGGAATATTTATCGGAAAGCTACAATTTTAACATTTCTTTTGGGGCTCCGCGAATAATAGTCAACCTTTTTAGGGGCTCCGCGACACCGAGAGTTTGAGAACCCCTGGTCTATACCATACGTACAGCCAACGGAACAATACGAAATAACCATTTTCAACAGCCAAACAAAACGGAAACGTATAACGGCGTTTTTGTTTTTTTGCCGTCCAGTAAACGAAGTCACGTGACCCGTACAAGTCCTCTATATATGTCAAGACATCAATGATATGTTTCGGGACATAGGCATAGCATAACAATGGCTTTGGGAAATGTCAATTGGTTGTATGTTGACTCATTCAGGAGATATTCTCAAAAAAACATTTTAGCAAAGCTTTTGGTGCTTTTTGATGGTTTTTGCACTTTTTGTTTTTTGATGGATTCTATCGGGTTTTGCGCATTTTAGCAGGGTTTTTGGTAGTTTTTCACGGTTTTAGCGAGGTGGTGATTTGTACTGTTTTTGCATGTTTTAGCAAGTTTTTCACCTTCTTTTGTACGTTTTAGCAAGGTATTTGGTTGTATTTAACTGTTTTTGCATGTTGTAGTAAAGTTTTTGGCGATTTTTTCACAGTTTTTGATAGTTATTCACTTTTTCTGCACGATTGAAAACAGTTTTTGGTGGTATTTGACAGGTTTTGCACGTTTTATCAAGTATTTTGATGTTTTTCCACGGTTTTGCACGTTTGGCAAGAATATTTGTGTATTTTCGCGGTTTTCATGGCAGAAACCACCAAAAACCTTGCAAACACGTGATAAACCACCATTAACTTACAGCAATTCCATAAATGCCATAGAGTTACATTTCACACACTTAAACCAATTTCACTATATCAAGGTCTTAATGATTTGCTGCTGTTAGAGTGTTAACACTGATGTATCCACCACAATTCACTTTCCACCAAAGATTTTTCAAACAATATGAAAGAAGTCATGCCACAAAGTGAAAAAAAGTTGAAATGACTGCGAAATATCAACTAAATTTCGTCAAAAGCTTCGTGACATATTGTTGCAGTATGATTTTACAGACTCGTTTACGTTGACTTCCATTAAGTGATTATGATGCGATAATCGAAAAGTGACGTGCACGTGAATAACTAACTGGTCACTAGCTTCTTTGTCTGAGACCGCTGTCTATTTAGCTGTGTGCCTAATTAAATCTGGCTAAATCTTACTGTACCATACTGTTTAATGAAGGTCGTTCGTCTGGCTGATTAATATTCAGATCAAGTTTATTGTGAGTATAGAACACCAGTCTAATCCTGACAAAAAGTTATCTTTTTTACAAACGCACTGAACTGCTATATATAAAAAATGAAACTAATAGTGTCTTTTTAAGTGTGCAATAACTTGGAATATTACGGTACAAGTGTGCAACATATAAAATCCAATAAATGCAGCAATAGCTTGAGAGCTCAAAGGTTGTTCAAATTTAGAGGATTGGAATAAATAATTGAGAAAATTTGACACAAAATATGGTATTAGTATTGTGTGAAGAACACTAACACGTACTACATACTATTATTAATGGAAAGGGACATTAGCTCACATACTGTTTTCATTTAAGGGCATGGACACCTCAAAAACAAGTCAATCCAAAATTGAACTATTGCCATCATTCAAAATACTTGAACCAAATATCCTTTTTCATCTTCATTTTGCAAATTGAAAAATAACGTTAAGGCTGGTCTAGTGTTGATTATGGACGCTACTCTGCTTCGTTAAGTCTTTTGAGAATGCCTGTGGAAGGCAAAAACTGTGTTACTGATGCATTAATTTACAAATTTTAAGTTTATGAATATCACCTGACGTTAAGCACCCTTTTGGGGTACGGGGCTTACACGTAACGAATTGTAGAAATTAAAACGATCAAAACCACGCATCCACATTCAGTAAGTACGCTACACAGCAACAACAATATCGAGAACATGCTAATTGGTGATGTTCGTGTATTATTCCGACTAACTGATAGCAAAAACGTGACTTTTGGCTGACCGGTCGGGACGCCGGGACAAGACGTTGAAAAGTGTGACTGTCCCGTCTAAGCCGGGGCGTATGGTAAGCATATATATATGTGTGCTTACCTGCTGCAATTTGGATAAACACCTTAAGCACACCCTGATGATACAATCAGGAAAGGTGTGAAGCAAACTGGACGTGTGTAAGACAAGCAGGACAAGGGTGGAACAAGTAGGGAAGTTTGGAACAAATAGTAAGCGTGTAGGACACCCAAGTTTGGTAGAAACAAGTCAAATGTAAGACAAGCAGAGCAAGTGTGAGACAAGCAAGACAAGTTTGGTTTAATCAGGAGAATTGTGAGAAAAGCAGGACAAGTGAGATACAAGTGTGGCACCAGCAGGAAAATGAAATACAAGCAGGTTTGAGATAAGCAGGACATGCGTGGGACAAGCGCGAGATAAGAAGAACAATTGTTGGATAAGCAGGACACATGTAAAATAAGCAAGATATCGTTGTGACCTTCAAAGTATTTATTTAAATTTTATACAGGAAGGCACCATAGTCTAACCGAGTTCCGGCTGCCTTTCAAAAATCTTTGTAGTTTGATGGAGGTAGGATATAAATTAATAGATTCAAACTGGTGAGATATATAAATAGATAATCGTCTCATTGACATTTATAATTGAATTAAAATAAGAGTGTATGATTCCAGTGGGACAATATGATTTGAGTACGATGTCATATTGTAATTCAGTACTATATATAGCACTGAAAAGACATCTTCATTAGTTATTATTGGTGTGTGTTAGACAATTGGACAAAAGTAGTCTGATCATGATAGCGATAATGTGCCAATACGTTTGAAAGTGACTTGTGTAATATAAGTGTTTAGTAAACTGGGTATTTTGAAAACTATTCAGGAAAAAAAGCAAAGAAAAAATACCCGAGCTCATATTCCACAAACCGGGTTTGAAACGAAAAATATGTCAACAAGGACCCAAATGAGTGTTTGTGAAAATTTGCTATAATATTGCTAAAAAAAATTTATCTGTTATTTATGCTTGGGTTTTAGTCAAATAAATGAGTTGACATCCAGTTTTGATAAGTTACATTACACATCCTTCGGAACACTGGAGGAAAGAAACGAACAGATACACTTTTGGTTATATTTTAGTTCAGTTTAGCCCGCGGATAGATAATGCTTATTTTAGTCGGCGATTAAAATAATAGACAACAGCGTTATGATTATACAAGTGTTCTAGACATGTTTCTATGCAAGACGTCATCATAAAAACCTTCTGATGCATTGAAAATTCAAAAATAGCCAATCATCCACGATAGGCCCACATTACGAAGAATTATTTGTTTGTTTTTTATATAATAATAATTATATTGACTTGAAAATAACAAGTTTAAAACCCGGTTCTGTTATCAGCCAAAATATAGAATACTCGAATATTATTATAAAGAGTATGAGATCGTTTTTCCGTAATATTAGCGTCTGCAATTTCATTCTTCTATTCAAATTTGTTACTATTTTTTGCACAGCAAGTCAGTTTATGATTTTACATGTCAAATTATGTTCAGGAAATTGTTTTAGCGTCACGTGAATCAGTGAAGTATTTCTGTGTTAGTATCATACAGGAAATACAATACAGTTCTCCGAATTATCGTATTGAAAATGGATGCTAAGGTTCCGATCAGTGATTCTTCTGGATCTATGGCAGGGACTGAGAAGCCAAACGAAAATTCAGCCAAAAGGTCAGTACAACAGTGTCTAAACTAGGTGTGGTCAAGGTTTTTGAACCATGGACCAAAAATTTTGCCCACCTAGACTGGGGGCCATGTAAGTGTGACGTAAAAAGTAACATTTTTTGAACAATATTTAGAGTGTTGCAAAAGCAAAGGTGGAAAACAATATGCATCGTGCCAAATCTAAATTTAACCGCAATCTCAACAAATTCATGAGCTATTTTTTAGCTAAAATCAAAATTCGGTTTGGTTGTGGCAGCATCAGGCGGCCAGATTGAATTACCCAGCGGCCGGATTTGGCCCGCGGGCCGTACTTTGTCCATGTCTGGTCTAAACGCTGCTTTCATGCGATATTTAAGAAGTTGTTATAACAGTCTATCTCATATCGAGCATCTCAATTATCTAAAGTTACTTATTCAAATGCTTGAATAAGATATATAAATTGCTTATATATGACTCTGTATCTTCTAGAATAACTTGGAACAACAAATACGAATTCGCATTCAACGTGATCGGATACAATGTTGGATTAGGAAATATTTGGAGATTCACTTACCTTTGCTTTAAAAATGGCGGCGGTGAGTACATTTTTGGGTAAAATGATATAATTTTATGGAAAAAATTGCAATTTTGCCATCGTGGACGCTCGCAAGAATTTCTATTACGGGCGTGGATGGTTTACAAAAAATAACAGCCGCGAGGCGGGTAATAATGCATATGCTTACATTTATATTGTGATTAATTATATTTTTCCTTCTGTGATATATAGTGATTACGTTTTATGTAATACTTTTAAATATACTGATCAATTGATTTAATAAATTTATATATTTAAATTCCAAAAAGAGTTATAAAAGCAAGCACTTTTCTTAGAACAGGCGTGATTACGACCCGCGCCGTGGCTAATTCAGGGTTTCAGCAATGGGAAGAATTTTTGATTATTGGACACGATATATATATATATGGATCGATTGTTTTGTTATTATTATGTTGTTGTTAGTATTTCATTATTATTTTCAGGAGCCTTTCTCATTCCATACTTGCTGGTGGCGGCTTTTTGTGGCGTGCCCATACTGTTTATGGAGGTGGCGATGGGACAATATACAAGGAGAGGTTGTATTGCAGGATGGGACATTTTACCACTAATGAGGGTAAAATTATTACACCGTTTTTAGTATTATTTTTGAAACATGGGTATTATTTCCCCTAACATCCATATAAAAATATTTCTCAGCCATAAAATATATCTTATTTCCTAGCCTCCACGCCAAAGTACGCTTTTGAATTTGACTCGTACTGACAGTTTCGGATCAACTGCGGGTTGTCCTATTGGACATGAAATGGACCTATGAATCGTTTTATTATCTTGTTGTTGTTGTACAAAAATCCCTCTTCTTTACAACTACTGGACCAATTGCTTTGAAATATTTCAGTGGTTAAATCTTGGTGGTTGTCGCTAAGAAGGCTAATTTTATTTATTTCAAAAATATATTTGGGAACTATGGGATTCGTTTTTCGCATCGACTTTTTGTGTGATGACGTCGTCAAGATAATAAATTGCGTGCTGTGGTTCCCTAATCACATCTCAGTGATCTGGATGTCAGCCTTCCGGCACTGTAAATAGGTTAATGCTACTTTGTTTTGGACTTTGGGTCCATATATTTAAACTTTGCTCTCCTGTGTTAAATTGAACTCAATGTATTTTGATTTAGAAGTTTGAATTCCACTCTCCCTGGGGGATATTGCTTCCAAGTTATTTACAACATTGCTATCGAGTTAAAAGTACTTTACTTGCTTGTACAAATACAGTCAGATTCAAAATCCAAAACATGTATCATACGATATTATTATACGTAACAAATTGCCCTTAATTTCTTCAGGGGGTTGGATATTCAGCGATGTTAATGTCAACTTATTTCCTTATTTACTTCGCGTTATCTATTGGCTGGTGCATCATCTACTTGGCAAAATCTTTCACGTTACAACCGTTACCTTGGGCAACATGCGGTGAGCCACTATACAGTATATTAAATTATGTAGTTTTTTTGCAGTTAAGTAATGAGTGAGTAATGGCAACAGGTGAACGTTTCACGATTGCTGTTACCCCAGAATATCTCTTATGAATATTGGCGGTCTTTTTCGAGTTCATTGCAAATATATCGGGCTTTCCGCTTTGAATCGTTATATCGAAAATACAAACGTCACTCGTCTTTCATCGTATTAGTTCTTCATGTGTTAGTGGTTACTTTTCTGTGCCAAGTCTCGAATGGAAATTTACGGTAAATATATGTCAACACCTTGAAAAACACTCCCTTCGGAATTGAAACTAGATCTGAACTATAAATCACTCCGTTAAACTTAAACAAGTGTGATGAATAGGTACTCTCGTAGTATGTGTACCAGATTAGGGTTAAGAAATATTTTTATTACGATTTTCCTTATTTATATATTGATTCAATTTTACTTGATGTAGTAATGACGTTATGCTTTGTGAGTTTCATTGTTTTCTACGTGTGGTCGGTCACTCCGTTCCATCCCAGTCGGACTATTTCCCGTTGAATTGTAGGTTATAACAGCACACTTTTTCTGCACACTACAGCCATTGATAACTCTGTGCGGGTCGTAACATGTATGTGACTTGAATGAATTAATTGATCAACGAGTTTCCAATTGCTGTTAAGTTCCTGGCAAAAATCAGTCTGGAACAACGAAATTTATGGATTTCAAATTGTTGAGAGGCCGACATAAATATTACTTATTTTTGATAAAGATAACGAATGGAACACAGAAAACTGTGTTCCCATTACGGAACTTAAAGACTCATCTGTGCTGATCGGGCCAATTGAAAATGCAACTGAAGAATTTACAAATTCATCGCTGCACGCGATGAATGCTTCCCGAATCAACGAAACACTTTCTACGGCAGAATTTTGGAAGTAAAATATATTTTCATTTTTATTTCGCCCATTCTACGTGGAGATACCATGGTTTCTGGCCGTACATACGAAAATCTTTTTTGTTTTCCATAAGAATAATGCAAAATGATCTTATTGAGTTGCATTTTCTGAACCGATAGCTTCCAACCATTTTTCTGAACCGATAGCTTCCAACCATTTTATGCGCCAACCATTGTCAAAGGTTCGGGTCTACAATATTTTGCTAAGATTATTTTAATCATGCAACGCGTATTGAACAACCGCCTCGAAAACAAGAAAATATGACATGTAGTGCTAAAATGTTATTGACTAGAACAAGGTCGTCCAACCGGTGGCCCGTTGAAGGGTTCCGATTGGCCCACACGGCACTTTTCAAAATTTAATATACTAAACTTTTCCCGATGTCTCCCACAAACCTGAGCAAATATTACCACCTCCCATAAAAAAAAACTATTCCTTGTTCAAACGCACGAGAAATGCCACTTTTTAAGTCTCTCTGCGGCCGTGATTTTCGGAAAGCGATATCTGGATTTCCGTTTTATCATAGTCAGATTGAAATGACAATTTTTTAAGACATCGCTTTCAATTAGTGATACGAACGATTTGCCTATTTCAGTGTGGTGTATTCTACCGCCACTTTCCAATGAGCCATGAATGACAATTCAGATGAAAACATTTTATATAGGGTAGTAAGGTATTTTCCGTGATTTTGCTGTGTTTGTTTCAGCCATTTTTATCCAAATATCGGTTCGCCATATCACGCAGATATCAAGTCTTGCGCTCTGGTGGACATTGACGTTTAGGTTTTTTATATCTTGCGGAACTGCGCGATTTGTTGGACAAGCTCGAAAGTTGTTGTCCAAATGAATTTCATTCTTATTAATATCCGTATCGCCTTTGATAGACCTTATCGTCGCCGTAAAATGAAAAGTGAACAATATATTTGCTACTGGGTCCGAGATTCGTTTTTTTTTTTTCTGTTTGTATTTTTTTAGCGTGTTCATGCTTATTTAGCGTTAAATAAAAATTCTGAAATTTAGTAACTGCGTATCCTTCTAAAAGTCTGATAACATAGACTTAATAGCATTCCTACATATTCAGATATTTTATTTCGTCATGCATGAAACATTATCAACAAATAGTAATAATAATAAATTAAAATAAATCACAGACACAAAATGTTTCGCATTTGACGAGGAGTCGCGAAAGATTGTCGTGTCAGCGATGGTTCCATTACATTTGAACCCACGTACATTTGAACCCATGACAATTGCACCTGTATGCTATTGCACCTATGGAATTTTTTTTGTTTCACGAATAGTTAAACCCATACTAACCCTAACCCATGGGTTTTAGCACCCGCATATAGATTGAACCCGTGGATATACGCATGGGGTCAAATGTACATGGGTTCAAATGTACGGTCACCGTCAGCGATACATGTATGCTGAATTAGAGCAGCAGATATACGAAAGGAATTGGGCTTATAACATAAAATACTAAACAACATAGAAACAACAACAATAGAGTATAAATAAAACACGGAAAAGTGAAGAGGAATATCCAATATATTCGTTCGAAAATCTTAAAAACGTTGCTTTATTAGGTACTTGTATTGATGAAAACAGAACTTGGCTGGTATTTAAGTTTGGTAAGAACGTTTGTGGCCCGCAATGAATTCCTTATGTGGAAATGGCCCCCGACGCTATAAAGGTTGGGCAGACCTAGACTAAAACATGTCTACGATTTGTAATTCCGTATTTTCTTTTAGCAATTACGTTTTGCAACGAAGTGATGGAATCCATGACATGGGAACGTTTACAAATTGGCCCATGTTGGCCTGTTTCATTGCCTCCTGGGTGATGAATTATCTATGTATTGTAAAGGGGATCAGAACTACCGGAAAGGTTGGTTTCTTACTGCATACAATTATTCGTTTTTAATGCGTAAGACAATTCAAGCACATCAAGTAAATGCAATGCTGGTTTATGAAACCAAATTTTCTTAACGCGTGTAACATTTCGTAATGTATTACAGGTTGCATATATCACCGTATTGGTACCATACATATTGATGATTGCATTACTAATCAGAGGACTAACTTTGGACGGTGCTGTAAACGGGATTCTTTTCTATATCACCCCAAATGCAACACGACTAGCTGATCCAGAGGTACCATAACGACGCATTACTAAAAGTGGTACTTCTGAAGTATGCGCACCAATCTTGGTGCGCATACCTCATGAGGTCCCTAAAATCGTATATATATACGATATACATATAGGGGAAGTATATCCGTTTTCGTTACTAAGTACGTGCTTCCATAAGTTTAATTAAACACTGTGAAATCAGTGCTTTAAATCGTATGTCATAAGCAATGCGATTCGATTTGTGCCACGCTCTTAATTAAGATTTTGAAGTACGACTTCAGCGATTATGAAACCATTAGATAGAGCGGTGTTTCCCAGCCTGTGGGTCGCGACAGTGATTTTATGCTTTAGTAAATTTTGTTGTTTATTATATATTTGTTATGGAAGTGTTGCTCAATTTTAGATGTGTAGATCAAAGCGTAGCAACCATTCTGTGTGATGACTCGCTGATGACAAGTGCAGCCTTATCACTTTGAATTGGTTTATGGGAAAATAAATGTAAAATGATTGTTAAATATTGGTAATTCAATTTTTCAGCCTTTAGTACTACATGGCGTTTGTATTTCAGCATATTCTTGGGTCACGGGACTCAACAAAATTATTATTTAAAAAATTCGGGTCGCTTGAAAAAAGGGTTGGGAACCACTGAGATAGAGCATAAAATGAATATGGTCATCCTTAGTTACATGTCCTTGAAAATATAGTTCCAAAATTTGATGTGAAAATTTGCAAACTTGACCTATATTGCATTGCGACGTTGAACCACCAAACATAATTTGTTTAGTTTATTTTTGGTATTAAGCTTGAGCTAAACATATGTTCCTCGGGGAATAAGTTTTGCGCAATAGCAATTCACTTCAGAATTAATGATTGACATAAAGCGTTGGCCGGAGACCTCAAACGGAGGTCAACACATTGGCAGATTGCCGATTGAAGTAATGCTGCAGACTATTGGATATAAAAGCTGGTATACTATGTCGATAAAGATATGTTAATTGCAGCTGCTGCGTATATTGAAACATGTACAATACATAAATATGTTTGTAGGTATGGTTGGATGCTGGAAGTCAAGTTATGTATTCCCTTGGGTTGTGCTTTGGATGTCTAGTTGGATTTGGCAGCTATAACAAACCAAACTTTGACTGCTACAAGTATGTAACTAACTGTTCTTTCTGTTAAAACGTACATATCGAAAACAGATGACTGTTGTTTGTGATTTTATTCATTTGATGATATCTCCGATGCAATAAAGATAACTGATTTATTCGATCACAACGAGTCCGGCTTACACAGAAAACCAAATTCTGTCGCAGCATGACTACTGATACAGCCTGTCATAAGGTGTTTCATTCTTTTGTGCCGAAACGCGAACAACCCATTATTATAATTGCTCTCATTCCCATACTTTTTATGTCACTGCCGGAATAGTACATTTTTACAATAATTCCTACTTGTACTAAGCATTGATATTTTGTCGCCAGGAGCGCATATTTCTTTATCGGCACATGCTGCGGGAGCTCGTTAACATTTGGATTTGTGGTATTCAGTTTTCTAGGCCACATGGCAAAAGTACAAGGCAAACATATCAGAGACGTTGTTGAAGGGGGTAGGTTGAAGTAAATTAGCATCTATGGTAAAACATAATATTTTATCTGATAACCTACTTGGCTGTCATGTGTCATTGGTTATCACTTTGTCACACGATACGAATCGGATGTTTCAATGGGATATCCGTGTTTATTACCTAAATCAGGTAGCAAAGTTCACACAGTACGACGGTAGCCTATTGATACTTTAATATTTCTGATAATAGTCTCCCAGTACACAAAATATCAGACCTAACAATCAAATTACCATTCTAAGGTCCAGGACTTGTATTCCAAGTCTTCCCAGCCGAACTCGCCTTGTTGCCGGGTTCTCAAATCTGGTCTGCAATATTTTTCCTTGCATTGCTTGGACTAGCTATAGATGGATCTGTGAGTATTTCTCAAAATATTTTAAATTTTTTATAGTCATTTCAATTTTAGTAGCATTGATATTAATCATAAATTGAATATTATTACTATTTGCATTGAACAAATAGTTTAACCTTCTTTATGTCTATTGAAGACTCTCTATGGCTTTATGCATATTTTTAAACAAAATATAACAATTTAATTGTATCTGTTCTATTTCAGGTAATGAATATCAATACAATAAATATTTTGTTTCATATTTAGTACGGAATCATTGAGGGATGTATCACAGCTCTGGCAGATTATTTTCCAAAATACTTCGGGCATAAGGGAACACACTTCTGGCGGGCGGGTTTGTGCTCCGTGCTCTTGATAGTCGGTTTACCACAGCTATTTGATGTGAGATGTATATTATTTTTCTTTGTATTGTTTAACATTATTAATGTGAGATAGCAAGCATTACTTTTTTTTATTTTTTATGAAAGCGATATTCGAAATTAATTTCTCAAGCTATATATCGTCATTATTGAACTCAACTCATTCGTATTGTAGAGCGAACTTATTATTTTTAGCTTATACACCTTTGCTTTCTGAAAATATTGTTTAAACTGAAATTTTGAATGGGTATTGTTCTCTTGGACAAACAGTTGCATTAAGATTTATTCCGAAGTTAAAACAACTTTCTGATGCAATGAATGAGGGGGCGCTTCAGAAGTATGTGTACCAATATGGAGGTACCTAATTTTGTTCGCTTACTTCACGCCAAGTTGTGTGAGGGGGCTGAAGCCTACGGGCAGGAGGTATATTCACTTGGCCAATACAGACAGTCCCCGAGCCCATAATAAAACTAAAATGAGGAAAATTGTAACAACATTGTGTCCAACCCTAACCTGGTACACATGCTATACGGGAGTACCGAATAATGAACATTGTTATATGTTGTAAATATTTTCTGTGGCCTGTCTACTTCACGCTATGTTATCAATGGGATTATATCGTCTTTTTTATCGTTTTTAAGAGGCGTATGTCCCGTTACATTACTCCCAAGCCAAACTCAAAACAAATGCATTTGGTAGCTTATTTTTTATCATCTAATTATAGTATTATTTAACCTATGAGTAGTTTTGAATGAATAGAATGATCGAATAATCTATTATTTTAAACTAAATTGTAATGATTTTTTTTTTCTAAAAAGGAAAATAATTCCCATAATTAACTTTCCAAAAAACTCATTATGATGATTTTCTATCATCCAGGGTGGAATATACATTTTCGAGTTGCTGAATCTTCACGGTGCAAGTGGAATTTGTATCTTGTGGGTTGGGTGTTTCGAAACCATCGCGATAGGTTGGTTATATGGTATAGATCGATTTTTCGATGACGTTGAATTGATGATTGGATACAGACCTCCGATCGTTTTCAAGTATTGTCTCAAATTCGTAACACCAACAATTTGTATGGTATGTTTTCTGTGGTATAAATTCTATAGCCTACTCATTTTTTTCTTGCTATATATATTCTTATTTTCCCTAACCAATTGAATTTATTATTTAAGATTCGAGTTCTCCGAGTATCAGTGGGTTACGCTGGAATTTGCATGCCGGAAGAAAGCGTCCCGTGGTACAAAATATAAACACTGCAGTAATTTAATTTTATTTTGCAAATGTTTAACTTAAGTGGTACAATATCGGTTATTCCTATATTCGGATAAACATATCGGTATAAATGTTGAAACTTGATATTCCTAAATGTTTTGGAAAATAATACGCTTTGTTGTAACTATGCCAGACTAGCTCTATGTTTATTAAAACCCAACAGTATTATTTTTAGAATCCTGTGTAAATCTTCACTGTTCGTTTAATGAATGATTTATATTTTTCATAGGCCATATTCATTGCTTGTTGCATTGAGTATTCTCCTCTTAAAATGGGAAATTACGTCTATCCGTGGTGGGCGAACCTAATTGGTTGGATGCTTTCAGTTTCTGTGGTTGCAAGTATTCCGTTCATTGCAATAAAAACAATGTGGAGAGCCCCTGGATCGTTGAAACAGGTGCGCGTATTTATGAGATTGAGTTCACTATGTCAGATTCGACTACAGTATTTCTATTTTCATTCAATTTTCACAGCATAATTTGTAAATTTATATTTTGATCTCTTATCTGATGCCATCTGCTGTTGAAACTTGAAAATATTGCATGTGAAAAATGAATACCTGAACCTAAATCTGAATGAATTTTATTCAATATAGAAGTCTTTCAAATCCCGAAATTAAATCCCCGCATTAGCGATCACATACAATTATTCCGGATGCTGTCTTCATTACAGTCAAAAATTTATAAAATATTTGTTATTATTTTTTTCATCTCGTAGAAATGGCAACATAGCATCACATCGATCCACGTTAAAAGCAAGTTTCAGATACCGGATAAAAATATCGAGAACGACAGGATAGCAAACGAGTCGTCAGTAATGCTGTAACTCATCTCTTTTTATACATTTAACCAAGATATTAAATGTAGAATGGAAACACATTGAATTTATATGAAACTAATTTAATAATCTTTAAATTAAATATTGAAAATTTTCGGAAATCATTGGAAAGCAAATCGGTCACATAGCCGAAAATGTGTTTTCCTAATAACAACTAAAAAAACGGATAGAAGCGGTTATAAGTCTACACTTTTCAATTTGCTTACGGTTACCCTGAGTCGAGTGCAAAATCCTCTCATACTCAGTAGAAACATTAATACAACGTAATTTATTAATTGGATGAATCGCATTTTGTTCCATGTATATTTTCAATGTGCTTTTCTGTGTAAATTGTCAAAATGTGCCCAAAAATTGTAATTGGCTAATTGGTAATAAATATCAAATTTTCTTAAAAATTATGTTATTGTTTTTGGAGTTGTTAGGTTTCTAATATGCTATCCTGATACTTGGCAGGCTTATTAGAATATTATCTTTGTTAGATATATCCCCACTTTTACTTAAACTGAGATTCTTGGGTTAGTCAGACAGTATCACAATTACAAATATGATGAACTTCACCTCGTCCTATAACTCGTTCTCGCGCGGTGCGAACGTCTTTGTGCATAAAACCACGATACATGCTATCTCCTTTTTTGTGGATCGAAATGGATATAACTAATTAATACATTAATATGATGAGATAGTTTCTTTATAACCGATCTATCTGTGACCATGAAGTCGCGCACCAAGGTAAATAACAAAATTCCAGAGATACGAAAACCTTGTGATCATTCGACCTTGATTCCTGATAAACAGTTTTCTCTGATTCATCAACGGTTCTTGTGGTTGGTTCTAGAAAAGATGATAACATTCTAAAATCCCATTGATCTATATAGGCGTCACATAAATTGCGAGTTCATCATGGTGCGCAACTTTATGCCATCCTGTATATTGCTGATGTGTAAACGCGCAATTGATTGAAATCTAGTACACATTTTCATTTTGACGTGACTATTTATCACGGATAAACTGTTTTATGTTATAAATTGGATTGCGAGAAATCGCCAACCTTTTCTGAGTGAAGAAAAAGGGGGTTAATAGTTGTTCTAATGCTCAAAGTAAATTAAAAATCGACACATTAAGCCAAAAATGACGTTATATCGACCTTCGTTGTTGTACGGGCTCCTCAGAGCAAGATGAAAACGAACAATCCTATAGCTTTTCATAGGAATTTAGTGGAACAATAAAATCAGTTCTTGTGGTTGGTCCTGGGAAAAATTGAATGTTCAAACGAAAAACAAGTTAAACTATTGTTGGCATGCAATGATATCGGCGATAATACAATCAACATTTTAGTGGACACCAAATTATTTGTAAACAATGACCAAAATATCAGAGTCGTAACTAGCGATGATCCGATAATGAATTATTGGACGCATCATCTGGACAACGTGTTGTCTTTGTTAAAAGACTTGACAGAAAAATCGTAGGCAAGTTTGTGCGACGCAAATCAGTCTCGCTTTGTTTGGTTTCTGTTTAAGATGTATGATCTTTATTGGGGAGAAAGCCGCAGCCGACCAGCTGTTGCGTGAACCACCATACGGCGGCGAAGAGTTCAGCAATCCTCTCGCAAATATTCCGCACGGGAATCCTATCGAACATGCAGGGCAATCAGAGGTGTGGTGGTGAGCGTATTCCAAAGTCTTAGCATGGTACGCCATACTGCTATATGTGAGGTGTTAATCATATTCCAATGCTTGGAACCAATGTAGTTGGGGGTCACTGCAGAATTCACATATATTGTTCGCCATTATATGAATTTCCTAAACATGAACCAAGAAGAAAATTGTGGATCAAATAGGTCCTATTTGATCATTTGAGAAGACCAAATGATATTGCACGATTGTCGCGGCGGCTTTATACAGTGTTAAATCAGTGTATCGTGTTTGCGGCCAAATATACCTACTCTAAATTGTGTTATATACTCAAATATATTACAGCTTGACGTTCGAAATCCACCCTCTGGCTTCATCCAAGTCTCTATAACAGCTGACTTATTTGATTCGGTACAACGACACGGAGAAAATTCCTATCAGACCTCATTGCTCCTCTTGACAAAGTTGGCACAAAATGGCGTTCATGAGCCCTAGGTGTCTCCCAACGACTAACATACCGTCTCCATATCGTTACGCCACCTTAGGTAATGTTCTATGGTCGCGAACGTTCGCTTTCGATTGATACATTGATCTTATGATTCATCTGTGCCTTACCAAAATTGAAAAACAGCCATAATTAGCGCGGTATGGTGAGTTGGCATCTATCACCGTCTCGTACTTGATAAGAAATGAATCAAGATCAGGCGAATATGCACGACAAATCGACGTGAATAATTAATTCCTGTCAAATACCATACTGCCATGAGAAATGCATTACACGCCATGAAAGATTTGAAAGTCTATCGTCGAAACGAGAGAACCTTCAATTGATCTCGCATAAATGAGAGAGAATCTCTTTTATATATAGCTTTGTTAAATGGGTAAGTAGTTTGCTAACTATGGTGTTATAATGGCCCGCGACAGCTGATCGTAATAACAGGAGGAATGTACTGTTGGCAACAACGACATTGAAATTCGCTGCCCTGTGACCTATTGCCCTGCCATTCTGCCTTTGGCTGTAGACCTGATGTGGGCAAACTACGACCCGTGGACCAGATGCAACCAAACGGCCCGCCTGATGCTGCCACAACCAAACTAAGACCAAATTTTGAGGTTTTAGCTAATAAAAAATAGGTCAAGGAATTTGTAAAATTGCGATTAAATTTAGTTTTGTCACGAGGCTTATTGCTTCCCACTTTTGCTTTTGTAACACCATGAATATTGTTCATGAAATGTAACTTTTTAGGTCATACTTACGTGGACCGCCAGTCTAGGTAGAATTTTTTTTTTGGTCCCTGGTCCAAAAACCTTGCCCACTCCTGCCGTAGCCAAACTATATAGCTCTCTTATCTTTGAACCCGGAAAATTCTTCCTATAAACTGGATTAAGCGCCTATAAACTGGATTATATGTTTCATATAATTTTCGATTGAAAACATTCAACAACCTGTAAAAGTACCGGTAGAAAAGTTTAGCCTAGTTTATCACAGCTATTTCTAGACTAATTTCTGATTACTGTAATTAAACCAAAACCTCTGAAAAGACAAACTGGTCATTGAGTTATTTCATTCACACTTAAAGTTTCGAGACACAACTATAAACTAGCGAATACGGTAGCATGTGAAAACGCGAAATTAAAGGTAGACCTGAAAATCTGTTTGAGCATAGATGTTGTTATGCATTGTCTCTGGTTTGAGTGACAAAAATGGCTGCTAAAATGTCTTTTGTTACGTCCCTCTTTACATCCTCCTGATTGGCAAATTTTACGGAAGTAAACAAGAAAGTCGATGTTTGGGGAAACATCCATTCCATACACAGCAATGGACCTTTCCTCGAGCATCGACTTTCTTGTTTACTTTGTGACATTGGCCAATCAGCAAGATGCAAAAAGTGATGTAACAATGCTTCCTTTCCGCATCCGCTCAGACACTTTTCTCACTCAGACAGATTTCCAAGCGTGGTCGTAAACATTACCTCGTTTTTGAACTCTATTCGTTAGTTTTTAGTTGTGTTTCAGCAACTCAAATACAAATCAGATAATTCAATGATTACTCTGCCTTTCTAGGAGTTTTAATTTAATTGCAGTAATAAAAAATTAGTGTAGAAATAGCTGTGATAGACTAGGCTAAAATTCTTTATCGGTACTTTTAAAAAACAGATTGTTGTATGCGATAAATCATAATGATGGTTTGAAACACACACCCCATTTTACAGGCGCCAACTCGCAAAAGCACTCTTAAAATAGCCCCGAAATTTTTTCAATTACCAACTTTCATAACCTTTGACCGATGGCCGATGCTGCCAGCTACGTTTTTTGTGCTGTTTGAGGGTACGCTCGTTGCCGAGAACGGTGCGTCAGATTTATACTTGCTTTGACTTGTTTGAATAGCTCGCTGTGTGTTAGCGTTTTTTCAACAGTATTTTTCTCATTATAGATTGAATACAGACTAGCTTGTATATATGTTATACATTTGAGCTGCTTTGTTACAAAGTATACTTTCACACAATTCAGACGGAGATACTTCAAAAGTGATGGTACTGGCAGACTGGATGCGTAGGCAATGGATTTTCTCATTGCACTGGAGTACACCGAGCACGATTTGCCTGATATTTGGGAAGTAAACCTACCAGAGGAGAAGGATTACATACCTGAGAGCTATGAAATGAATTACTTTGCAAAGTAAGGGTAATAAACTGCAAAAGAATGTAATTATATGGAGGGAGGAAGCAGCTATCAGGAAAAGGAAATTTCACCCTTGAAAGTACCAATCATGTCTTAATAAGAAAGTTACAATTGAAAATTAGGATAAGAAATGAGCCCCCAAGTGTTTGGGACTCTGCAGAAATGCCCTCCTGCATGTGGAATTTGTTGACTAGATGATTGGGGTTGAAGCCTGGATAGCATTTGGATGCATTCTCGACATGCCAGACCAGCGGATGTCAAACTCACGCCCCCAGAACACTCACAATAATTGTAATATTTTTTATTTTTATTGAAAATACCAATTTACAGAAGTTGATTTATATAAATTGCAATAATGGTGATATGCAAGAAATTGATATGTGAATGACATTTGAAATTTAATGTAGACTAGACGCACAGCCTCCACATAAATTTTTGAAGAAAGTTATGTCTCGAATTTACAATAAATTGGGATCTGGTCTTATTACACTGGCTTTGGATGCGACAGAAAGAAGAAACAGTTTCTTTATTCAAATTTGAACACAATAATATTTTTGCTTCATTTATAATTCCCAACATGAGTAGGTTCAAAATATATGCTCTTTTTGTGAGCGTATCATAACCATTTGAATTATTTTGAGAAAAACATACATGATAAATCAGATACAATGCAAATTTTTGAATATAAAACCTATACAGAACAGCGAACGAATCATGAATTGTATGAAAATGGTGCTGATTTTAGGAATGAAAGTGATAGAAGCTTTTACAGTCGTGATGAATTGATTTGGCTTTATCAAATATGACATACCGGCACCTCAAGTAGCTTATTCTAAATTTTCTATTACTTATGTAATCACCTTTAGACTTATATAAAGCTTAAATATGTTTTTTTTCCTGAATTTTTGATGACACGCAATGGCCCGACTGACATTTGTTAGTTGGTGGCAATGAGTTAACTGAGGCTGTTTTCCTATTTCACCGTCAGATTTAAACTTCATCATAGTTCATGTTTTGAATGTGAATATTATATAGGCATTATATAAAATCAAAAAAGGCAATGAACATTATATATGTTAAACAGCAATG